CCTCTGCCGCCCCGTCTTGTCCCCTCCTACTCCTTGCCCTCCGCCCTGTGCCGGTGCGATCCCCTGCTCCTCTGCACTCCTCTTCCCTCCCCTCTCGACTGGCGCCTCGGACCGATGCTGTTGGGCAGCTCGATGGCACAAGGGTCAGCTCGGACCGATGCTGTAGGGCAGTTCGGGCCGATGCTGAGGGCGCCCTCGAACTTGTGCGTTCTCTAGGGCAGCGCCGCTGGCACAAGGTCAGGCGCTGCGCGCGTGAGCCGACGTGGGGAGTCGGCCAGAGCTTCGTTGCGTTAAATCTTCGTCGTCGTTGGAAACATACCCGGCATCCCTCCTCCAAGCACCCGCGCGCCTCTGCCTTGGGAGCCTCTGGCATTCGTCGTCGTTGCAAGCGATTGCGTTGCCGTCTCGGCCTTGCTACTCTTAAGGGTCGCCGTCTCTGGTGCATGTTCCGGCGATCCCTTTGGGGGCAGCTTTTCCATCCCAGCTCTGGAACTCTCAGGCGTGCGGGGGCGCTGCCAGCGTGCAGACACTGTTCTAGTTGTCGGGGACACGCCGGAGGTTTGTTCCTGTTCAGTCCCTAGTTCGGGTGTCACAGGCGGGCCATTCGTGTACGTTTCTTCCCCATGTTACATTTTCTGCTTCTGCCAGGTCGTGTGAGAACAGGTGTAAGAAGCAGGGGGTGAATTGAGGGGGAGCGGAGAAAGGGGAACGGAGCCTCACTCCCCTCCCGGTTGTGCTTGTCACGACGGTCAGTTTTTGACCGACGGTCGTTTTGGAGGGACCCTCCCAGGCCGTCTTGGGAAGGGGGTCCAAAAGGCCCCGAGAGACCCAAAGGGGCCCTCTGGGGGCGTTCCTGGGGCCCCGTCAGTGCCCCCCAGGGCCTTCAATGCGGTCTCGTAGTGCTTCCAGTGGGCTCCAAAAGGTTGCAAGAGGGAGTCTAAGTTTTTGAGTACACTAAAGAACTTGAGGGTAAGATTGAGGCCCTATTGGGTTCCTCTTGGGGCCGTCTTGGAGCCCCATGTGGGCCCTTTTCGGGCGATCTTGGAGGAGCTTAGGAGGTCCCCGAGAAACCCACAGTGGCCTCCAGAGGCCCAAAAGGGCACTGTCGGGGCTTCCCCGGGCCCCCCTCAGCGCCCCCAGGGGCCTTCCAGTCGGTCTCGGAAGATTTCCTATGGGCTCCAACACGGCTCCAAGAGGGTATCAAAGATTCTCAATAAATTTGAAGACTTGAAGCTAATATTGAGCCCTTTGTGGGGGCCTCGCGGGGCTGTCTAAGAGCATCTATGTGGCCTCCTGGGCTTTCTTGGAGGGCTTAGAAGGACCTCACGAGACCCAAAGAGGCCCTCTTGGGGTTTTCCTGCCCCCCCCTTCAGCGCCCCCCATGGCCCTCCAGTGCAGTCTCGGAAGGCTTCCAGTGGGCTCCAAGAAGGCTCCAAGAGGGCGCCAAAATTTGCAACTCCATGTACGAGTTGGAAGGTAATCATGAGGCCCGCTTGGGGGCCTCTGGGGGCATTCTTGGAGCCCCTATGGGCCCTCCCAGGCCGTCTTGGAGGGGTCAAAGAGGGTCCCCAGAGACCCAAAGGGGCCTCTTGGGGCTTTCCTGGGGCCCCCTCCGCGCCCCCCCAGGGGCCGCCAGTGCAGTCTCGGAAGGCTTCCAGTGGGTTCCAAAAAGGCTCCAAGAGGGTTTCAAAGTTCTTCGATCTAGTTTAGAACTTCAAGGTGATTTGAGGGCTTCTTGCGGGCCTCTTGGGGACCTCTTGGAGCCCCTATGGGCCCTCCCAGGCCGTCTTGTAGCTTCACTTGTTCTGGTCTCCTCTGGAGCCAGGTTGCCCGGGCAATACTCGTCACAGGTGCCCCCCAGAGTATGTAGCATGGTGCATGTACCCTTTCTGGCAGGAAGCAGGGCAGGAGGATTGCAGCCACCGTCGCATAGCAGCGTCACAACAACAGAGCCCGACAGGGCTCCAAGAGGGCGCTGAGAAGGCCTTAGATGGGGCCCCCAAGACGACTCCCAATATGTGAAACGGCCCCTGCTGTTCTCCGAGGCCCTCTTGGGACCGTCATAGGGCTCCCTTGGAGCTTCCTGGAGCCTCCCAACACGGCGTGGGAGAGCCCCAGGGGGCCCAAGAGGGTACCAAGTGGATCCACGACGGCTTCAGCATTGTTTAATCGATGTTAGGGCTTTGAGGCCCTCCTGGGGCAAGGTTGGGCCCCCCATGGAGCTCACCTGGGCTCTCTTGAAGCTTCCTTTGTGCTCTCTGGATCTGTATGGGTGGCCTCGGCGAAGCCCCGCGAGGGGCCCTCCGACGCCGTCATCAGGACCGCCTGGGGCTCGCCACAGTAGGTTTGCTTGCGCGTTGGCGCGGTCGGCGTCGAAGCTTGGTGTGTCAAGCGTTACGTACGCATGTCTCGAAATCTGGTTTGCTTGCATTACAATGTCGTCCTACACGTTTCACTGCAACAAGTGCCAGCACTGTTTGGGGAATGTGTTTGGTGCGTTTGCCATGCGCGCGCGACCAATGGTGCGCCGCACTTCCATGGAACCGCGTCGCGATTGTGATGCGCAGACGCATCTCACGAAGAAGCCGACGCATGAGCGCGGCGCACAAATCACAGAACCATGTATTCGCATCACGACTGTGAAGCACGAGCCCCCTTATTTTGGAAATCGCGAAACGATGCAGTTTGGTGCAGACGGGTGCAATCCCCGAGGGCTGGCGGAATCTCGGCGGAAGCTGGCGGTCGGAACAAGTTGGGCCAAGGACGTCCTTGCGGCAGCCTAAACGGCTGCGTTTTTTGATTTCCCTGGGAGGGGGATCCAAAGATCCGTCCTTCTTGGGGTGCCAGCAGCTGGAAGGCATTTCTGCCCGGGGAAGGCGCGCAGAAGCAAATGGGCGGACAAATCGCCCCCCCTCCCCTCCCCGATAGAGGACAGCACGTGGCCCTCTGCGGGCCCGACTTACTTTGAGTTTCCAGCCAAGGGCCCTTCGTGCACTTTGGCAACGGCCCTCTGGCTGCGGGGGGAAAAGGGGATGGCAGCGGGATTGGGAACGTTGGAAAATTGAGCTAATTTATTTTTGTGCGGGGAGGGGCCGCGGTCCAGCGCGGTCGGCAGCGCAGAAGGGCGGCGCGTTTTTTGCAAGAGTGGCAGCCAGATTCGCACCGAAAGGTCCAGAGAAGATGCGAGGTGGGGCACGAGGAGGAATATAATTAATATGAGGTGCCTGAGAGAGGAAGCGGGGGAGGAGGGGCACGAGGACGAGGGCAGAGAATTAAGAGGAGGAGGGCGGGGAGCAAAAGGAGGGGGAGCATGACGAACACAAGGGGGAGGAAGAGGCACGAGGCGACAAGGAGAGCCGCCTAAAACCGCTGCCCGATGGGATAGAGTGCAGCTTGATGTGGCGGACGGCTCGGGCTCCCTCGCATCGCGGCGGCGGAGGGCATTGGTGACCCGAGTTGTTTCTCCTGTCCCGCCCCCCCCCCATCGTCCCTCCCTTCCCTCCATGTCTCCTCCCATTCGCTTTCTCTGCCCCTTTTCCCGCGTCTTCCTTGCACTTCCTTCGCTCTCATTCATTCCGTCGCCCTCCTCTCACCTGATGGGGGGCGGGGGCGGGGGGTGGGCAAGGGATACCTGTAACGTGTCCCTCTGCAGACGCGAAGCGTGTGCAGGCTGTCCCCCATTGTCGGGTCGCTCCTGGCCGGCGATCGCCCCCCTCTTCGTCGTCACCCGTATTGTCCGCGCTCTTTCCCTATAGTCCGGATCTGCAAACTAAACACCCGTAGAAGTCCAGCCGTGCATCCAAAAGCCACGTAGGACGCATTGCAGGCCCAGCCACGCGGGCAGGTTCGATTTGATGAGTTGCTGCTCATTTTAATTCTCATGCGCGCTATGGGAGTGTCAGGCTACGTTCTAATCAGCTGTTTGGTGTATTGGCCCCCAAAGTTATATGAAACGCCCGTTTTTTGGATTGGCACGCCGGGTGGTTATCTGAACTCTATGGGCCCCCAGTGGCGGCCAGTGTCGCTCCCCCCCCGCTCACTCCACCAACTACTGCCGCGCCTCCTCCTCCAGAGTTTACTATGTAATCCTATTCCCCCCGTCGTTTTGATCTCTGTGCCAATTGACTTCTGATGAAAAGTACAATTGTTTGAAAAAAGTGAGCTCGAAATCGTCGCGACTTCTGTTGGGGCGCCGCTTCCATGAAATCCTGGAGCCGTTTTTGTTGCCGTTTCCGGTCGCCGTTTTTTTGCTGTTTCCATTTTCAAGGGACATTTTTTCGGAAACGGTGCAAAAACGGCCCTGCCGTTTCCGGGGCCCACAAATCCCCAGAGGTCCGCGCGGATCCTCGGCACTTTGTGGCGATGCTGCTCTGTCTCTTTTTCTTCGTCGTGCAAGAATATCGACTAGACGCAAGAGTGACCTCTTTCGCCGGAGTGACCCTCTGGTGCGGGCACGGGTGGGCCCTCAGGTGGCCGAAGACGGAGCGGTAGCAGCGGCTTGCGCGCCCAGGCTGGGTCTCCCCGCAGCACCCCAAAAGCCGCGCACCAAAGGTCACTCTTACCCAGGTCGGGCCGGGCGAAAGGGGGGGATTGGGAAAGGGGGGGTTACGATATTTGCTGCATGCAGCTGGTTTCGGCCTCACCGAGGGGCCCATTCCTCGATACATAGCCGCCTCCGGCGCCGGGAGGCGCCGGGAAAATCAGCCACGTGAGCTGATTCTCAAACCCCCCCTTTGCTATCCCGCCCTTTCGCCCGACCCGATTACCCAGGGTCACTCTTGCGTGTAGCCGAAAGAAAGTCCACCCTCACCCCCGATGGGGACTGCTTGAAGGGGGGGGGGGCTTCCCGGCGCGCTCGAGCTGGGGAGGGATAGGGCGAGGCTCGAGGAGGCCTCCTCCGGGGCTCGCTCGCGCGAGGCTGCCCCAGCCTCGGTGCCGACCCACCCCCCCTGGCCCCCCGTTGCCCCATCGAGAGTGAGGGCGTGCCTGCATCTGATCAGGCGGATGCTCCATGGGCGCTGTCCAAGGAGTCACGGCGACGGGAATCGAGGAGGAGGAGGAGGAGGAGGAGGAGGAGGAGGAGGAGAAGGAGGAGGAGATGACGAGGTTTCCAGGTTCTGGGAAGCTTATCAGCAGCAGGTCTGCACCTGGTTGGCCCTGGGCAGGGGATCAGACGCAACGAAAAGGGGGGACCTTCAAGAAGGGAAATACCGACCCGACCCCGACAATTGGCGTTTACCGAAAGGGCCCTGGGCGTTTGCTAAACAGCCCTGCCCTGTCCGATCCCTTCCCTGGGTGCGTGTACTAAACCGCTTCGCTCGTCTTTTCTGCCCTCTAGGACTGGCCCTGGGCCCTGGGGGGGGGGAATCGTGGACCCCCAATCGCCCGTTCATCGCCATTCGGGGCCTGGGCCCCCAACCTGGCCCCAACCCGCTCAGGAGCGGCCGGCTTCGCCATCGGCGATGTACAGTCGGCTCGGAGGTATAAGATCGAGGTCGGCTCGGGGAGGGTACCCCAGATGTTCTGTGTGCTTGATGGATGCTCTTGAGCATCCTGCGGAGGGTACCCTCGGATGTTCTGTGTATCTTGGCCGGCGGAGGGTCTCATGTTCTCGAGGGATGTTCTTCTGACTTAGGTCCGGCTGTGTCGGCGATGCATCGCCGATTGCGAACACGCTAGCCAGCCCCTCCCCCCTTGCGTCTCCCCCATCGTCCCCTCAGGGGGGAAGCAAAGAAGAGAGCTGCAGGTGCAGTGCTCGCGGGCGTCGAACATATCCGTGACCACGTCCTCGCGGTCTGGATTCCGGGGCACGATCCCGCGACAATGCGGTCGTACGGAGACGTCCCGCGCGGGGCATCCGCGAAAAAGCGCCCCGTATCCGCGTGGTCGCGGCCCAGGGCCCAGCCCGCGAGGCCGTGGACACGGCCTTTTTTTTGCACATGAAATGCCGCGGGCTTCCCTGCTCCAAGGGCGGAGCCGGGTGGGACACCGACGAGAGCACCACGGTGGCCAACTCCAGCCTCGCGCAGCGGCGGACGCGGCGCGCCGGCAAGCGCGCCCGACACCGGCCGTGCCACATGCGGGGCAAGGAGGCGGCCGCGGCGGAGCCTGGCGCGGGCGACGCCGAGGGCTGCGGCGAGCAGGAGTCGGCTACACGTGTGAGTGACCCTTCGCTGGAGCGACCTTTGGGTGCGGGCCCACAAGGGGTCTCCTCAGCAGTGGCCTGCGCGCTTGGTTTTCGACGCCCCACGGTCCCCGAAAGCCGCGAACCGAAGGTCACTCCTGCCTTTGGATGCCCAGAGGTTAATACCATTCCCAATATCGGCGGTGTGCCTCCACCGAGGGAGGAGGATCCCGATCTCGGTGATGGTGGTAATACTCGGGATGCCTAGGCGGTTGGAAGATTACCACCCACACCAACATCTAGGAACACTTTCCCTCAGTGGAGGCACCCTCCAGAGTTGGTGTCGGTGCCCATCTCCAAGCCTCCAGTTCCTCGAAGAAGAAACGGTTGCACGAGCATAAACACGAGCTTACTTTTGAGGGCTCCGTGTGGATCTCGTGGACCTGCGCTGGACTCCGTCGCCGGGGGGCCCCCAGCGCAGATCCAAGAAATCCGCGCGGAGCTCCGACACAATCTATGCTTATGTCGGGCCTGTCCCCCTACAGGGGGATCTTCGACGAAAAATGAAGCATACACCAAAAATACCCCAAAAAGGTGAACACATACCCAAAAAATAGTCCCCAGACTATTTTTTTGATATATTTTTCTATTTTGTATTCATTTTTCGTCGAAAATCCCCCTGTAGGGGGACATGCCCGACTTAAATCTATGCTTATGCAGCGATTTTGTCCTCCGGTGCTCACCCACCAAACCACCCCAACCCAATCCGAAGGCCCCAATCTGCCCTCCATTCCCAGTGGGGGGGGGGCGTCGGGGAACACTAAAGGAACCCGTGTGGAACCCGTACCCCCCCCAAACCGAATCGTGTGTCTTCGGGTCAGGTTGGAATGGTCTGGTAAGTAGTCAAAGTGCCCGGGGCGGGGCGCCGGTCGTTGTCGTAGTCGTCGTCGTCGTCGTCGGCGTCGTCGTCGTCGTCGTCGTCGTCGTCGTCGTCGTCGTCGTCGTCGTCGTCGTCGTCGTCGTGCTGCAGTGCCCGGGGCCGCCAGGAGGCCGCAGGGGCCCCGCCGCCGCCCGCGGCGCCAGTGGCGGGCGGCGCCGAGGGCGGCGCTGAGGGCTGCGGCGGGCGGGAGGCTCGCGGCGCCGCGCCGCACCCCTCGCAGGGCCAATTTCAAGCCGATCGAGCCGATTCGGTTCCATGACGACGATGATGATGATGAAGTCATCGTCATCGCCATCGTCATCGTCATCTTCATTGTCATTGCCATCGTCATCATCACCACCAGCGTCATCATCATCATCATCATCATCATCATCATCATCATCATCATCATCATCATCATCATCATCATCATCATCATCATCATCATCATCATCATCATAATCATAATCATAATCATAATCATAATCATCAGCATCATCATCATCATCATCATCATCATCATCATCATCATCATCATCATCATCATCATCATCAGCATCGGCATCGGCATCGTCATCGGCATCAGCATCATCATCCCATCTCGGTCCGATCGATTCGATTCGATACCGTGATGCTGACGATGACGATGACGACGACGTGCGCCGTCTCCCCTCTTGTCTGGCCAGAGCCTCTCCCGTGCGCACCCCAAAACGTGCAGGCGCAGTGTCGGAGCGGTGCCGCCGCCACGCTCCGTTTCGCGGCCGACCGCCTCGCATCCCGTCGGCCTCGGCCGAGGGGGAGGAGGAGGAGGAGGAGGAGGAGGAGGAGGAGGAGGAGGAGGAGGAGGAGGAGGAGGAGGAGGAGGAGGAGGAGAGGAGGGAGGAGGAGGAGGAGGAGGGAGGAGGAGGGAGGAGGAGGAGGAGGAGGGAGGAGGAGGAGGAGAAAGAGGAGGAGGAGGAGGAGGAGGAACCAGCCTCCCTCGTCGAGTGCACCCCGCGCCACGCCCCCACGCGCTCGCGCGTTGCCCTCTGGACCTCGCGCCCCGCTGGCCCTCTCCGGGCGCCCTCCTCCGCGTCTTGCGGCGGGCGCCCCCCCCCCCCGGGTGCCGGCCACCGCCGCCGTGGGCAGCCGGGGCCAGGCCGTTCTCCCCGGCCTCTGCCTGGATGCGAGCGGCCTCGGCTCGACTGGCCCGTCGTCGTCGTCGTCGTCGCCCTCGCCGTCGTCGTGGCCGCGTCGCTCTTCGGCGCCGCCCGCGCCGGCCGAGGAGGAGAGCGCCGGGGCGGCGGCGGCTCACGCCGCGCCGCAGAGGGGCGGCGACGCGCACGAGGCCCCCGGCGCGCGTGCGCCCGAGCCCTGCAGCCCGCCGGTCAGGGCCCGGGCGCGCGGCGCGCGGGCCGACCAGGCTCGGAGCCTCCCGAGAGTCGGGCAGAGGTGGGTGGGCTCGAAGGATCGCGCCGCATCGCCGAGGCATCGGCCCACGCGCCTGGACGTGGAGCCCGACTCTCTCTCTCTCTCTCTCTCCAGTCGGCGGCGAGCCTGGGGAGGAAGCGAGACGGTGCAGGCCTTCTCAGGAAGCTTGGAAGTCCCCCAGCCTGGTGAGAGGTTTTCAAAGCCTTCCCCGAAGACACAAATTCTGTCAGAGTCTTCTGAGAAGCTTTCCAGGCCTTACCCGAAGACACAGAAAGCCAGTCAGAAGGCCAGAGGCCTTCTGAGAAGCCCCGCCGCCTTTTGAGAAGGACTTCTCCTTGTCATTCCCCCCCCTCGCACGCCGCCGATCCACGCCGATGCCGCGGATGCACCGCCGAGGCGTCGCCGCAGCCTCGGCGATGCGGCGCGATCCTCCGACCCCATCTGCTCAGACCCCATGTCAGCCACGCGCAGAGGGGGGTAGGGGGAGCGGGGAAGCCTTCTTACAAGCACCCCTTTTCCCTGGAAGGCGGTCTCGTTTACAGATGTGAGGCCTGCGCCTTCCAAGGAGCAGCCTCCTTCTAAGAAGCCTTCCCCCCTCCACCTGCCCGCTTGTGTCAAGTCGGGCCTCTCCCTCTACGGGAGGAATGTCCCAAACCAGCCAAACATCGTCTGGGGACGCTCTCGATGATTTTTGAGCACTTTTCTGTTCATGTCTGGGCCACTTTTCACTCCCGTCAGGGTCCGCCGGCAGGAGACAGCTGCCCAACCTTGACGCTTGTGCGCGCCCCCCACCGTTGGTCGGTATCGTGTAACCAATCTTACGTCGGGCCTGTCCCCCTACAGGGGGATTTTCGACGAAAAATAGGAGATACCCCACAAATAACCAAAAGATAGTACAAAAATAGTCTGGGGACTAGTTTTTGAGTATTTTTGATCTTTTTGGGATATTTTGGGGGTAGTTTTATTTTCGTCGAAAATCCCCCTGCAGGGGGACACGCCCGACATAAAACCAATCCCCATACCCATCCCCATCCCCATCCCCTTCGAGATCCCCACCAAATCACCACCCAAGTTGGGGACACACCTCTCGAAACCCGAAGCGAACGACCTATATTCCCATCTGGGGGGGGTAAATCGACAAGTGGGTCCCACGACATACCGATCCCACACGCCGGGGTGGGGATCGGTTCCACGGTGCGCAGTTGGGGAGGCCCCTGCAGAGGCGCGGCCTGTGGCCCCCGCGCCGGCCGCCCAGGCGCGGCGCGAGGGCGCGGCGGCCACGGCGCCGCCGCCGCCGCGCGGCCGCGCCGGCGCGGCGCAGGGCGCCGCGGCCGCGCGGCGCGCGGGCCGCTCGCCGCTGGGGGCGGCGGCCGCGCCGGCGCCGGCGGGGAGGGCGCGGCCGCGGGGGCGGCGGGGCCCGCGGCGGCGCTGGGGGTGCGAGGGCGACGAAGGCTCAGCTTGCAGTGTTTTTTTTTTCTGACAGTCAGGGGGCGATCTTTGGACTATGTTTGAATCTTCCTGGATGGTGTTCGGATGGTCTGTTTTCCGCCCGAAATCCCCGTGTAGGAGGACGTGCCCGACCTGAGCTTGCAGTGGAGGCCCATGCCAAGAAGCACTCTGCTTGCCTCCAGGGTGCCCTGGGTTTCTGGGGTTGCGAGGGCTCAGCTATGGAAAGCGTGCCGCTGCCACACCAGAAACACAGTGGAATAAATGAAGTAAGCTGAGTGGCGTATGAGGGGGGCCCCCTTATATGAGCGTAGCGAAGCGACGCTGCACCATGCATTCACCTCAAGCCAGGTGGATGCACTTGTGATTCAGCCATTGACGTCCTGGGGTCTCAGGGTTGGCTTTCTTGTGGAGGTCTCTACCGCCTCCTCCCTCCTCCCTCCTCCCTCCTCCCTCCTCCCTCCTCCCTCCTCCCTCCTCCCTCCTCCCTCCTCCCTCCTCCCTCCCGGATCCACTGCTCCCTGGCCAGGCCCATCCCGAACCCGGGAGCTGTGCACGGCAGGCTCGCGCCGCGTCGGCCGGCGGCGACCCCGCCGCCGGCGCTCCGTGCGGACCGCCGCCGGCGACCCAGGCGTTGGTCGACTTCGGACGAGCTGACGTTTCTTCCAAAACGCCGATCGCTCGGAGACCAGCGCCGCGGTGTCAGTCGGCCACGCGCAGAGGGGGGCAGGGGGAGGGGGGAAGGCTTCTTAGAAGCACCCCTGCTTCTTGGAAGGGGCGGTCCTTACCTGTAGATGTAAGGCCGCCGCCTTCTAAGAAGCAGCCTCCTTCTAAGAAGCCTGCCCCCCTCCCTCCACCCCCTTCTGCGCGCCGCGGTGTCAGAGCGTTTCCAAAACGTTTCCTAAACGCCGATCGCTTCCGAAAACGCCGATCGCTCAGGGGCTGCACGGTCCCCGCGGGTGCCAGAGGCCAGCGCCGCAGTCGGCACGCCGCGAGCCTGCCGCACGCGCCCTCCCGGCCACGCCATGGGGGGGTCCTGACGTGTACGCCGCTGGCTGGGCTCCGGACCGGCCTGGCCAGGGAGCAGTGGATGGTGGGCCTGCTTCGGGGTTGGACAGACCTCCTGCCCTGACACGTCGATTAAGGAATTGGCCGTTTTCGGCTCGCGAGAGGGCGTCGTGGCCGTCATTTTGCGGGTCCAGGTCCGTCGGTTTCGGTCCCAGGCCGTTTTCACTAAGGGGAGGTTTACTAAAGGGAGGTTTGTCCACCGCCGACTGTTTTCCACCACCACCACCACCATAAGTTGGAGGGGGGAAGGAGGAGGAGGAGGAGGAGGAGGAGGAGGAGGAGGAGGAGGAGGAGAGGAGGAGGAGGAGGAGAGGATGAGGAGGAGAGGAGGAGGAGGAGGAGAGGAGGAGGAGGAGGAGGAGGAGGAGGAGGAGGGAGGGGGGAAGGAGGAGGAGGAGGAGGACCCCCTCCCCCCCCAACTGATGGTGGTGGTGGTGGTGGACACGTGCCGCTCTCGCCGCCCCAGGTGTGGCGGCCGTCGCTGCGGGTGTGAGGCGGAGCGGCCGCTCGGCCACGCGCAGAGGGCGGTGCGGGAGGGGGGAAGGGCTTCGCCGAGGCATCCCCCCGCCTCTCAGCAGGCACGGGCGACGGCGAGCACGCCGCCGACGACAACGAGGACGCCGCCGACGACGACGACGACGACGAGGACGCCGTCGCCGACGGCGACGCCGACGACGGCGACGCCGACGACGGCGACGCCGACGACGACGAGGGCGGCGACGACGAGGACGACGAGGACGACGACGAGGACGACGGCGATGCAGGGCCGGCGCCTCTTGAGAAGCAGGCTCCTTCCAAGAAGCCCTCCCCCCGTCCCCATACACCCCTTTGTGCGCGCGGCCAAGCCACAGCTGGGGGAGCTGAGGTCGGGGGCAAGGATAGGGGGGGGGATGGTTCAGGGGTGGGCGCATCGACGCCCAGTCGCCCATTGATCGCCGATCGGGGCCCGACAGCCCGCTCCGCCCAGGGGGTGCGGATTCGCTCACGGGGGCCCATCGCCGATCTATCGGCGATTTCTTGCTGATTCAAGCTCGTTGCTTCCCCCCCTGAGCTGGCGCCCCCCTTCAACGTTGCCCCTCATGAGGTCCTTCCCAGCGATCCAAGCCTTGCATTTTTTTTCACAACGGGCGTTTTCCCCCGTTTTCAGGCCCCAGGACCCTCATAGATCGATCCGGCTCGACAGTTGACGCAGGAAGATGGGGTCTAGGGCTCTGGCCGTGATTATTCGCGATGCTGTTTTTTTTCGCGACGTCAGATCTCGGAGGAGTTGGAGTCCGCAATGGTATG